GAAGCGGCATCACCACAAGCACAACCTGAAGCACCGCTACGAGCTGCAGGAGACGCTGGGCAAGGGCACGTACGGCAAAGTGAAGCGCGCCATCGAGAGGTTTTCCGGCAGAGTGGTAAGGCGGGCTGTCCCCTAAGGAATAATAAGGATGTGATTTATTGGTGACGCTTGTTGCAGAACGAAGCCGGTGCGGGGCGTCCCGAGGGGAGGCATCCCCGAGCCGGTGCCCTGCGGAGCCGGGCGCACCTCTGACCTGCACCCGAACGCGCCTCCCTTTGGGCGCCGGTGCTTTGAGTGCCAGCCCTGGAGAGCAGTTTAATTAATTCATTCATTTGTTTATTTGGGGGGAAGTATTGTGGTTATACACCATTCTTTAAAAAAAAAAAAAAGGAGAGAAAAAAAAAAAAAGAGGTACATCATTGCTATTGGAAACATAGGGTGGCTCCTAGTTTTTATTCCCTCCCCTGGGCGCACCGCACCGCTCATCCTCTTTCTCCCCCACCTGGAAATCCAGGCTTTCCTGAGCCCTGTCGCAGCGCCCAGCGGCCCCAAGCAGCTCCTAGGGCACCGCCGGGGTGTTGGAGGTTGGTGCTCCGGTTAAAGAACCGCTGCCATGCAGTCATGCTTTTGTGACCTGAACTTTGCTGACACCTAAAAAAATTGCAGGGACTGCAGCCCGGCCCCGTTGGTTTTTACGGCTCGGGAATGAAAGCGGCCCCGAGCCCCCCCTGCCATAACTCAGCCTCGGCGTTTCCTCGGCCGCGCGGCGCTCCAGCCGAGCACAAAAATGCGATTGAAGAAATGTACACATTACTCAGAGTTATTGTCATTTTTCCTTCACTGAAATATGTAACCATTCACAGAGGACGAGCGAATGAGAGGCAGGGATTGCCTTAAAGGCTGCCTGGAGAAAACAGATGCTTCCCCCCTGCCATAACTCAGCCTCGGCGTTTCCTCGGCCGCGCGGCGCTCCAGCCGAGCACAAAAATGCGATTGAAGAAATGTACACATTACTCAGAGTTATTGTCATTTTTCCTTCACTGAAATATGTAACCATTCACAGAGGACGAGCGAATGAGAGGCAGGGATTGCCTTAAAGGCTGCCTGGAGAAAACAGATGCTTTTCTCAAGAGCTCTTAGTACAGCCTTTCATACAAGGTAGACTAATTGATTTTTTTCCACTAGACCTCATAGAAAAGCGAGGCATTTCCCTAGTGACATTACAGGTTTTGTTTCTTTTTTCTTTTTCTTTTTCTTTTTTTTTGGTGTTCTCTGCAAGCTGAGCATGACCCAAGAGGGAGAAGCAACTGTAAAACAGAAAAAGAAATCGGAGATACAGTGGCTTTAATCAGGGCCGTTTACTTTGCAACTGAATATCTTTGTGTCGACAGTGAAAATGAGAGTTTCAGCCAAGTTTTAGAGTCGTATCATGTATGCTTTCAGTTTATTAGCTCATTTGGAGGCTGGCTAAAGGGAAACCAGAGATGGACATCTTTGCACATGCTCACTCCAAGTGCATGAGTTTTAAAGTTTTCCCTCTTGGCTGTTTTGCAGTTTGAGGCTAACAAAAGCTCCTAGGCTATATTATTTATATAATACTAAGGATCCTTTTACAGGTAGGTAACTTGGTGGTGGATTACATAATCTAGCAAATAAACAAATATATTGAAAATACCCTTTTTTAAAGATCTGATCAATTGAGGGGAAAAAATGGACCGTGGTTTAGAACAGATACAGTTTTGGGAAGGATTTGCTCAGATCTAAGGATGTAGTGTAGACATACCTCCACGAAGTGAACAACATCTCTGGTCTTTCCATATTTTGTTTTCTGTCAGGCTATACAGCAAATGATGCTTAGATGATAGGGTCTGAGCAGCGTTTGTGTGGCTGATATCATCATGGCATTGGAGAGAGTGAAAATCAAAATACTCCCAGAATCTTAAGTGCAATAAAAATGTAACACCCACTCTATCAACTGGTATGTAGAAACTAAACAAATCCTTACGGGGGTGTTAGTTTTATATTGTCGTAATATAACCCTTGGCATATGGCACTTCATAATTATTAACTGGTCTGCAGTTGAGTTTGGGTGTAATGTTTCTATTTGAACTTTCACATCTGTGAGTGTGTGTAAAATACCCGCATTTTGTATGTTTACAGAATAAAAGCTAGTTGTCAGGAGTCCAGCCAGACCTAAGCGAGCAGAAAACGCTTCTTGCTTTCTGATGGTTTCCTTGCCTGACTGTTACAGCAAACATTCATTCCCGGCAAATTGCTTCCTGGCGGTGAGCAGAGCGCCCTGACAGGGAGTCTGGTCAGAGAGGGGCAGAGTTTTCCTGCACGTTTTGTCCTTCCCCTGCCTTTCTTCTCCTCTGTTCCTACTAGTGGCCGGCATTCACAGCATGATCAAGCCTGCCTGGATGCCGCAGTGTGTCCAGCAGGGGATGCACGGAGAGAGCAGAGCGGCCGGCGCCTCCTGCCAGGACTTCCAATGCAAATTGCCTAAAACCAGAAGCTAGGTAGCGAGAGTCCCAAGGTCACTCTAGTCCAGCCTGTTTGCCTCCCGTTCTGCTACTGCTTTAGCTAATCATCCTTCTCTTTGCTCAGCGGCAAACAGATATTTTGAAGCTGCGTGGTAACAGATTGCAAACCTGAACCTTGGAAGCAACGCTGTGTTCCCAGTAGTCAGCCCCATCCAAGTTATTCTCGTATTTGGCCTCTCTGTTTTTTGTTCGCTGACAATCTCTTTAGCCGTACTGCGTTTTGCAGAGATATTTGCATGATTAGCCAGGCTTTTAATAGGAAACATGAACTTTGGATTTGCTGCCATCTGTATGGCTACAATAAACAGCTCAAGCGTGAAACAGAAATTGGCAAATTTGAGTTAATGAAATAAAAGGGTGAGAAGACAGTTCAATCCGAGGTACATGTATGCTTTAGTCTTGTGCCATTGAAAAATCAATAGCAAGATCTCTCTTGACTGGAATGGAAGTAATACTTGGCACTCATCAATAGGTTATGTTTATTTGAACAGTTATAGTTTCTTTATCTTTGCTTTTATCTTGCTGAAATGTGATCATAAAGTTTCCTGCAGTAAAGCTCCGGGGTAGATTGTATGATATATTTAGTTTGTTATTGGAAACAACGTAGGTGAATTTGTGTATTTGTTACCACAGTGACTGCAGGCTGTATTGCATACTGCCCGAAGCAGTTAAAATAATGCCCAGCACATGATGGATGAGGTGCCCCATTTTGCCAGCAAAATTTCCTTCATTAGTACTGGCTCAGCATACGCTGTCTAACTTATGATATTTTAAATTAATGCACCTGTTAGTAAGTGTAAGCATGAAGAGATGATATTGCGAGCCTGTGAAGTCGCACTCGTGTCGACATTTCTGTGGGTGTTTTCTCCGTTTGTCATCTTGCCCCTGTTAAAACAAAGAACTGATCTGTTGCTCACGTTGTGCATTCGGCATTCGTTAGCCCAGAAATCCAGCTACACTCAGGTCAGTGTGAGACCCTCTGGATGTTGAAGAAGGGCTGGATATTGGCCGTCTCTTGCACTCGCATGCAAGGTCCACTAGGAAGGGAGACGCTGCTCGATGCTGCTGTGAGTGAGGGGTCCCGCTGGAGCAAACACACCTTGCAGTGCAACTCGAAATTACACGCAGGCATCTCCAGTCTTTTTATCTGCCTTTTTTATTCTGAAATTGGGCTCGCTTATGTCGCCTGACGCTCACGGGAACCCCTGGCCAAGCAGCCAGCCCTGCCTGCGCTTCTGTGCAGGGACCGCCTGTGCACAGCACCGATGTTCCTCCCTGGGAAAGCAGGGAGCTTCCCTCGGGACGTGTCCTCAGGCTGCACGCGGGAGGTGATGGGGAATAGCTCCGGGGGCCTCCGCTCCCCCTCCTCTTCTCTCTGCGTCGGAGCCGGGACATCATTTCTTCCTCCTCACCAGCAGGTGGAGGAAGTACTGTTCTTCTCCAGCCATTCCTCCAGCAAGTTAATTATTTTGGGAATTGATGACAAGCTGCAGCCCAATATGAAAACCAGGCATGTGGTGCATATTTGTGCAGGCGTGTTATGGTTAGTGGTGCGTGTTATTTATCTTTTTTCGTGTGTGTGTGTGGAAATGCAGGTGGAAGGATATTGCCTGATGAAATTGGTTTCCAAATTAATATTTTTTTTTTGTAAAGGCCTTAGATCAACAGAATTCTTTTTGTGTGCAATTCCAGTGAAAGTCTTCACTTGGAAGTAACTCTCCTTTGTGATGATTCGGGAAATCCACATGGAGTTTTTGAAGCTCTGAAGCACAAATGTTATATATTGAAGGAAGCCTTTGCTTTGCAGATTGTATTTCCCCATGTTATGGCAAAACCAAAACACGAATGCCAGCAGTGACAGCTCTGTCAGGTCAGGAAATAAGGCCTTTTTTCCTTTTCTCTTCTTTTCTTGCGCCATGAAACCATTCACTCGTTTGCAGTGTGGTTCTTAAGGATAAAAGTGCTCGCCAGGACAAAAGGGCTCACAGGTCACCAGCGACAGCGGAAGCCACTTGGGAGGTTTTTCCCCAGTTTTCCTGCCTGCTTTGCTGGTGCCATTAGGAGGCAGGTGCCCATTCACCGCTTTCAAGCGCCTGGGCCAGGAGCCTCGAGCCCAGGTAGCACCCAGTATGTTCTCCTACCTGGACACACGCTCTCCTGTGCTTTCTTGGAGCAGCAAAGGAGCTGGAAGCATTCCGGCAGCCTTCAAGCACTGGGCTCTCCCAGTGAATGAAGAAGTTATGTTAAATGCACATTCGTGTTGCCAAGGCAAGCATTCCGCAAATAGAAAATGCCAGTATCCTGCTCTTCCCTCTTGTGCATGTGAATTACCATGTGATTTTAAGGACCTGATATACTTCCACCTTTTTCTCACAGCTTCTGCTTCTGCACATAGGCCACTGCTTTGGGTTGATTTTTGACTTGGCCATTCAGTATGCAGCTTTTGCAGAACAGTGTCCAAATCTGGCAGGGAACTGTTCATTCTTTAGACATTTTCTTTGTTGTTTAATTAAAATATCTTCCCTCCTTGCAGACACTGGTGCAAGTATCTACTCAAGACCGCTGTGCTTGT